CAGTTGCTTGAGTAACTGCTTTTTGGCGTATCGTATTACCTGGATGTCTAACCTTCATCGACGAACGCTACTTAAGTTAAGTTTTACTCTAAAAATATTATGTAACGGCGCCTCTTTTTCAGATCTATATATCAACTATGACTCCCTTCCTTCTGCTGTTCGTTGCCTTGGCAACAGCGTCACCATTGAAGAGGTACGTGCTTTACATCTAATTCCTTATCTTAATTCACCATTAATTATAATCTACCTTAATTCATTTAAGTGGGGTCGTGTGGCGTAGCGGCAGAGTGCGCGATTCGGAACTATGAGTCCCGGGTTCGAGTCCTGACACAACTTTCCTCACTAGGCTCAGGTGAAAATGAGTATTGCCCTGTCATGTATTTGTCACCTGTGTTGGTGGCGGCATTAATATAAGTTGAAAAAACTTGAGTGTGCCGTCACCACGTCTGGTGATTACATGTTGGAATAAAAAAAAATCATTTAACCTGCATTTTTTTCGTACAGCAATATGATTCCGACTTGGTCATGTATAGCCTCGTTTTGCAGGCTTTCCCGCTAACAATACATCCCGATTAAATCATTTAACTATTAAGTCTATGTGCCAGAATTCTAGTTTGAACGAATCTGTTGATTAGGTAGAAGCGTTGGAAAAATGTAGAAATTATACTTATAAAAAGGGTGAAATGAGTCTTCAAGACAACAAAGTGTTCTTACCTATCCAACATTTGGTCTCCTTCGCACTGCAGTTAGATACTGCCTTTTCAAACGTCTAAACTGTCTAAATGTTTCATCCGTAAATAATTTCATCAGGTTGGTAAACGAATGAATAGCAAAGTTCTTTTTATCACAACCATTTATTTTTCAAGCCGACGTTTCGATACCGTCTGTCATCTTCATCAGGGCAATTCTGAATGGTTTACTGTGCAACAATTACACTATTACACAACAACTACACAATTACACTACGTTCCGGAATGTATTGTAAACAGAAAAGAACTAGCTTAAGTGCACTACGAACTATGTAACACCTTTAGTGCACTATGCACCGAGTGACATCTAGCGTCAGTGCACAGTAAACCAGTCAGAATTGCCCTGATGAAGATGACAGAAGGTCATCGAAACGTCGGCTTGAAAAATAAATGGTTGTGATAGAAGGAACTTTGCTATTCTGTCTAAATGTTTTCTTCATGGCTTTTTAATGTAGACAAACCAGTGGCCTGGATGCAAACGGAGACGGTCTGATCTCCAAGGATGAAGTGTTTGGCGCCATGTCTCTGCACGAGGCTCTTGTGGCCCTGGACAGGGATGGTGAGCCAACTTCTGTTGAATCTACAGTTTCTCCTTTGATATGTATCTGCATTAAAGGTTCAGAATTTACAGACTTTGGTGTTTTAACATTTCAATTGGAAAATAGCCACAAAGTCAATAGAGCTTGAAAGTTGTTGTCACATCCGTGTTACTGTGTCTCCCCTTCTACCGGTTTCCCAGGGGTTCACGTCAAGGCTTTTCTTGTGATGCGATTTATTGTCATTAGCTTTGTGAAAACGTATATTCCTTTGCGTGCAGGCGACGGCTTCATCTACCTGCCTCAGATTATCGAGTTGTGGGGCGTCGGGGACAAGTTTTACGAACTGAACACCGACGGAGACGACCACCTCACCTTCAGGGAGATCGAGAACGGGATGTCTCTCAGCGACTTCTACGACCAGTTTGACTTCAATGGTAAGGTTGACTCTCGAATCTCACTGTCACATAGCATTAAATGATGTATTTTAAGGAATTTACCAGTATTTGACAAAATTTGCAAGTGGCAACTATCCAGTTATCCAAGACAATCGTTTACAGACCTTTGACAACATCCTTTTCTAGCTGCGTTTTTTTATTAAGTAAACAGATTCATTCTTAGTGGCTACACTACACGATGTCTGTAAAGTAATAAGACACGCCAACAACAGTTACTCAAGCACATGGACACGATTGTGGAAACAGACGTTTCAGGGGGCATCCACTGCCTATCGTCAGTGACACTGGAGAGTTGTCAGAAAAATTTGCAAAATCATATCCAGTTGCTTATGCAACTGTTTTTTTGGGTGTCTGGTGTATTCGTGCCTCTCTGAAATTTAAGTAGAAACAACAATCAAACATGAATCCTTTAATACAACTTTTCTGTACAATCTGCAGCTGACGGGTCCCTGGACGCCGCGGAGGCCTACCAGCTCATCTACATCTACGACGTCATCAGCAACCCGTCTTTCAACAACCCTCTGGACTCTAACGGAGACGGGAGACTCTCCAGCCTTGAAGTCCAGAGCCACATGACTTACGACGAGGTTCTGACCGCCTTGGACACTGACGGTACGAAAAAAAGATACTATTTTATCCAGAACCGTGTTATCTATGCCGGAATCAGGCACGGTTCTGGATACCAGTAGTCTGCTTATCAAAGAGTGTAGATTTGCCCCAGGCACTGTTATGGATACAGCATTAGGCAACATCTACTCTTAATGTAGCCCAAACCAATTTGGTTTGTTGCTTCTCGAATTTCAGCAGGGCACTCAAATTTGGATCTGTAAAAGCAAGCCCACTAATTCCACATGTAAAGTAGTCACCTTCCCACTTAGAATTAGTTGGTTGAGTCTGCCAGATGTTGTGGTGGATAGACTAGGAAACAATGGGATACTCTTAAGATAAAGTCTTGAGTATATTTAGACAGGGTGATTTTGTCTTTATTTTTATTTTGATGTGTCAAGTTTGCAGGTATGGGTTGGTGGCATCACTTGGACAATACACTGTCGTGGGTAGCTTGACACATCCTTTTTTGTGTCCTTACCTCTGTCTAAGTCTCCATATTAAAATCAAGTTTTAAAAAATAGTTAAACTCTTCTCTTTTCTAGTTTTTATTTAGTTATACCCCAATAAAAACGGATGGTTTTCGATGTGCAGGAGATCAGCTGCTGTCCGCGACTGAGCTTAACATTCTTCTCGGGTCCGAAACGACCGACTTCCTCGACGATCAGGACGAAAACGGCGACGGGTTTGTCAGCTTTGGCGAAGCCCACGGACACCGCATGAACCTGGACAGGCTCTTCGATAGACTGGACCAAAACGGTACGTTTAATTTTTATTCAAGAAGAAAATCACAAGACATTACACTCAAGTTTTTTTTTTCAACTTATATTTATGCCGCCACCAACGCATTTAAATTTCCCAAGGGCACAATAAGGACTAAACTTTAAGTGCCAACACTTGAATGAATTGGAACCAAATCAGAGACGCATGACCGTAGCAGCGAGTAATACGTGCCAGATAACTTGTGTCGCCCCCCGTCTCTGTTCAGGGTGCTACAAAGATTTTATGTACACATGAGCTTGGTCTGCACCTGATTGAAATTGATCGAAAACGCTGTGCATTTTATATGATTTAACAATAAAAGTAAAACAAAACGAATAAATGTCAAAGATCAACCCTCTTTACATTTATCATTTTTACTGTTAACAGACAGCAACTACCTAGAAGACCCGGAAGGGGCCGGATTCTACATCGTTTGGGACAGGATCCTGCAAGCCGGAACTGGACCCATCACTGGATAAGGTGCCTATTCTTACAATCATTATTTTTCCGCTGCAGCACCATTACAAGCCACCAGGGGGCGCAAAAATAGTCGTCCTGAGGTCTTAGTAAGGCCTACTCACCTACTAAATATCAAGACAATCTATGTAAGCGTTCTTGAGTTATTGTGTTTACAGGCACACACACACACACACACACACGCACAGACACATACACACACACACACACACACACAACACACACAACACACACACACACACACACAAACAAACACACACACACAAACACACACACACAAACACAGACAGACACATACAGAGACACACACTCTCTGTATTGCTAAAAACAAAGTGGTACTTACCATATCTTAAATCACTCTGAGCGTAGAACTACGACGATGTATTAGTTATGAAAAACCTACTATATAGAATTAATTGACATCGGTGCCTTTTTCGCCCTTCCCAGTGGTGAACCGACTGCAGATTCCCAAGTAGCGGCAACAATGCAAACTGGAAAACTGACATCAGAATCATCATCTTCCTCGGAGTAAATGCTTGGCACTGAGGCGGGTCGTCAGTGTCAGAATACCAGAAATCAGATTAGAATTACAGTGAATACAACGAAATAAAATTCTTCAACGGTTTCAATCTTCTTTTCTCTGTTCTTTTCATGATCTGAGTTAACTCAATTTCAACAAAATGTGGAGTCAACCGTATGAGTTGTAGCTCTATAACACCCAGTGCCAGTGTTGTGTGTTAGCATGGAACTTATCTGCGTTGGTTAAATACATTGTACAACAACTAAAGTGTTTGCTTGCTTGTTTCACATAACCAGTAAACCGCCTTTAGGTGTAACACACCAGTTTACATGTACGAACACCATTGTAAATGTATGTACCTACAAGACAGGACTGTAAGGTTTGAACCACTCACACCGGAAAGAACCCTTACTCTTTTTGATAAGTGTTGTGAGGTCTTTGGGTGTGGCTCTCCCAAACACGGGACCACCATTTAACTTCGTATCCGAGGGACGTCCCTAACCGAAGCTAGCTACTCATTTCCACCTGAGTGAAGTGAGGACTGTCATGTCAAGTGCCTTTTGCAAGGGCACAAGATCGGTGACATGGCAGGATTCGAACCCGGGACCTCTGGGGTGTGAGCCGCACTATTGTTTATGCCGCACGACCCCACTTGTATCGAACAACGCTGATTATTTTTGCTCCAGGATCGTAGAATGGTTCTAGATACAACAATAATCAATAAATCGCCTTTAACTGTAATACACAAGTATTACACAGTACCTACCAGCAAAATAGGAATTCAAGTTAAGTGCCTTTTGCAAGGGGACAGGATCGGTGACATGGTTAGGATTCGAATTCGAACCCGGGACCTCTTGGTCCTGAGGCAAACACACTACAAACTGGACTCACCAGTCGGACCCGCCCAATTAAGCTATCTTACTCAGTAGGCTTTATCTACGTATGACGTCATCAATTAGTCAAATATTGTTGAAATCGTGTATTTGAGAAGTCCTATTCATACATTTCATATGGTATTTATCCGACACCCACGCACAGGACGAAAAAAACGTAGAAAAGTAACATTTGCGAAGCAAATGCATAATGTTTACCTTCAGATACGGTCTGCTCTGTTAATTCTTACTCAAACACATTCGCATGCATGTACATGTAGATGGTGACAGGAGTCTACAAGCCTACTATGAAATTGCTACATTATGTAACACTATGGTGACAGACGTCAACAAAAGAAGCCATTGATCAGGTCAGAGGTTAGTGTTTGGAACAGAAGAAGAAATGGAGCAAAACAATATGTTTTCCTTCGGTAAACATAATAATAATAATAATAACCTTTATTGTACATTCATGCCCTATCTGGCTAAGTACAGACGCACAGATGAAATGGGTAATATACATGTTTGTAGTACAACTAGCTCTAAAGCTACTCTAATATACAGAAGTTCTGCTTCTCGTTTCTTTGTGATGTTAAAAATATAATTTGTTTGTATAGTATAGGATGATCAAAGCGCATAAGAAAGATAATTTTTTCAATATTAGGCAGGTATTGGAAGTATGGAAACGTACTTGTGATATATCTAAAAAGATCATTTCTTTCATTACTATATAAACTACAATCAATAACAAAGTGGGCTTCGTCCTCTCCTTTGTT